AGATGGCCACTTGCAAGCTTTTAAGATCCCAGTCACTATTCACCAAAATAGGAGGTGGAACAATGTTTTGTGTAGTATGTTATGCCGGTTGAGCTTGATGTCCCCTGTGACCATGGTCCCAAGCCCACAGGTTCAACTACTCACTCCCTCTGGGTAGTTGGCTGTGGCCATGAAGTGACCACAGCCTTGTCCCTTTCAGCTTTACTATATACCTGGATGATCACTTGACTCTTGTCTGTGCCCAATGAGATGAGACAGAGAGGCCAAGTCACTTGCCCAAAATCACACAGCCCCAGACCTCTGACCAGTCAGTGGGCTCTAGAGGCCAGGCTTTGAACCCTTGAATCTTCTAGGGGGTTCTCCCTCAAATGAGCCTGACCCACCCCTGAAGGGCGTGAGATCCCAGATGGCACCCACCCTCATGGGGTACCCTCACTTTGAGAGCAGGCAAGTCCCTTGTGCGGGGCTGGAGTGGCTCCTGAACCCAGATCTCGGCCATGTGTGTGACCCACGGGGGCGCGGCAAGCAGGTGCGCCTGTTACACATCACACACGTGCACATGTCACAAGGGCTGCCTGTGCACATGCACAGGTCCCCATACATACAGAAGCACACATGTTAACGCAAACTCTCTACACATTACATGCATAGGCATGTGCATACATATGTACATGTATACAGACGATACACATGCATGCTGATTACTGCAAGCTAGACATAACACACATGCCAACACGGATATTCACAAAAGTGTCATGTATGCACACCATAGAAACACTTATTATATACCACACATACACACACATGCACACATACATGTGCCATCGAGTTGATTTAGTGTCAGTCATCCCATGTGACAGTCTCACTGCCCCACAGGGTTTACTAGGCTGTAATCTCTATAGGGATTGGAGGTTTTAACTTCCTGGTGCCTCTGGGCAGGTTTGAACCAACCACCTTTCAGTTAGCAGCAGAGCACTTCACCGCTGCACCGCCAGGGCTCCTTCAACATTTTTCCTAACTGCAGTAAAAGGAAACCATGAATTTTTAGCTTGGGGCCAGAAGGATTAGAAAATTAACGATCATCTTTAATGGGAATAAGGACGGATGTAATGGCTACCCTTTCCTTCTGCGTATCTCTAGCGGGTCGCCCGGGATGCATTACACTGCGGTTTAATACTTAACAGTAAAGCATTTCTGGATAGAGGGGAGAACAACGTGGAACAAAACTCAAAATCATAAAAAAATAAGAGAGACCAGGTCTGATAGAGCCTGGTGGAACCCCTGAGACCATGGCCCCTGGCTGCCCCTCAGGTCTGGAATTGAACCCACTCCTGTGGCTCCCAGCCAAACAAAAGACAGGCCTATGAGCTGAACGTTACATTAGGAAGATACACTCCTTGGAGAGAACAGTCATGGGAGGGCTGTGTCTACACAGGGAGACAGCTCAGGGGGCAGGAGTCCATGGAGGGAAGGACACAGGGAAGAGGTGACTATGGGGAGGAAGGAAATGGGAGGGGAGCTGTTGCATTGTGGGAAATTGTAGTCAATGTCATGAGACAAAGTGTATGTGACCTGCTGTATGGAAAGTGAATTTGTTTTGTAAACTTTCACCCAAATCACAATTAAAAATAAATAAATAAATAAATAGAGCATTTCTTTGTCTCCTGTTCTTGTGGAGAAGTTTCCTGAGTTGAGAGTAGATTCTGTTTTCACTAATTGTTCCCCAACAACAGCACGCAGCAACAATACGCCTACTCACATCCCAAGCCTTACATGCTCACAGATACGGAACACACACACACACACACACACGAATGCAAAAACAAATGTCCATATATACATAGACACACGTAGACACACGTACACACGTGTCTTAGAGCCCTACACACAACAACACACAGACCTGCCTGTGACTTCCAGGCAGGGAGCTCTGCCCCGACCACACACACCGGCGGTTTACTGTGGTAAACCACAAGAGCCTGAGAGCGGTGGCTGAGCAGTCGTGTTGGGATCGGGGTCAGCTGTAAGGGGGTGGGGCAGGGACTACCCCGGTCTGGCTCACACAGAGCCCCCCCCAGGCCTGCAGGCAGCCAGCTCTCCAGGCCAGTAGGCCCAGCCCCATGCTGAGGGCTGCCAGCAGAGGCACCATGGTGACCACAGAGAGAATGCAGGGTGATATGGACAGAATATGTGTGTTGTTGTTGTTATGTGCCATTGCGCATAGCGACCCCTCCTTGGGTGTCCGAGGCAGTATCGCTCCAGAAGTAGATTGCCCAACCTTCTTTCCGAGGAGTGGCTGGTGGGTTTGAACCGCCAGCCTTCTGGTTAGCAGTCAAATGCCTTAGGCACTGCACCACCAGAGCTCCTACCTTCACAGAAGCAAAGCCCAAACCAAACCCAGTGCCTGGAGGGGATTCTCACAGCGCCCCTAGAGGACAGAGTGGAACTGCACCACAGGGTCTCCAAGGCTGTCAGTCTTTATGGGAGCAAAGCCCAAACCACACCCACTGGAAGCAAAGCCCACACCAAAGTCACTGCCATTGACTTGACTTGACTCATAGCGACCCCTCCTTGGGTTTCCGAGGCAGTATCACTACAGAAGTAGATTGCCCAACCTTCCTTCCCAGGAGTGGCTGGTGGGTTTGAACCGCCAGCCTTCTGGTTAGCAGTCAAGTGCCTTAGGAATATGTGTGGTCAGTCCTAACCCCTCTGCACCTGTGAGTGTAATCCCATTTGGGAATAGGATTTTCCCCATTATGTTAACGGAGGGGTACAGTATACTGTAGGCACTCTAAGGCACACTTACCACGGTCCTTTCTTGGGGGTGGAAAGCCTCACATAACCTGGGTATAACTGGCCAAGCTGAAAGTACCTATGTTGCAACTAAATTCTACGTGATGTTTCCAAGCCCCAAAGACAAAGATCAGAATTATAAAGACAATGATAATAAAAGGCAATAATAATGAAAACTGGAAGGAAAAAAACGTATTCAGCTTAGGTCAGAACCAACTAAACTTGGAACCTGTTCTGAGATATAAAGGGCAGACTGAGCAAGCAGAGATGGGCGAAGACAGAAGCCAGGCCACGTGGAGATCTCCAAGGACCCAAGGAAAAGAAGCTGACAGGAAACAAGGACCTTCCCGCAGAGCCGACAGAGAAGGAAAGAGAAAGCAAGGCTTCCCCTAGAGTTCGTGCCCTGGATTCAGGCTTCTGGCCCCCTAAACTGTGAGAAAATAAATGTCTGTTTGTTAAAGCCACCCCCTTGTGGTATTTTTGCTATAGCAGTACCAGAGGACTAAGACAGAGAACTAAGACATCGGGGTTGTGAATTTCAGGACTTGGGGGCTCCCACCCTCCAGTCATCACCAAGGACCATCACCTGCAGGGGTGGCAGGTTCATGGAGGCTGTGGCAGGGGATGTCAGTTGGCAGCTGGGCCAGGGCTGTCAGTTGGTGGACGTGACCTAATGGGCACCAGTGTGGGCACCCAGGAAGGCTGAGGGTCAGCGACGGGCGAGAAGAGTCGTTTCAGTAGAAGAGGGAGATGGTGACATTCCTGGGAGGAGGGAGAAGATGGTGACATCCTGGGCTTTCCCTACTGCCCACCCCTGACTGTAAGTCTGGAGAAACTGAGGCAAGGGAAGAGGAGAAAGGAGAAACTGAGGCTTGTGAAGACATGCAAATTCCCCTCCAGGCCACAGCCTGGCACACACCAGCCCACGTCTCAGAATGCTGCCCAGCCCACTGTCCTGCGGGGCAGCCACCCTCCTCACCCTCCATCACCCTCTGGGTCCCCAAGGTGCCTCTGGAACTCGAAGTGGAGGCCGGCAGCATATGGTGGAGTGTGGCCATCACAGAGACCCAGGGGTCCCTGGAGGGGAGCTGCAGGCGGATCCATGGGCTGAGACCACCTGCTCTCCCGAGGTCCCGCCTCACCCCCACCCAAGCCCGCTCCTCCCTGCCTCCTAGTCCTGGAGGCAGTCCAACCAGTTACAGTTGATCTTTTCATAAAGATTGGGCAAAGCAATGCAAAATAGGATTGGAAAGCTCAAACAGCCTGTCTTCAGAGGGATCTTTTTTTTTTTTTTTTCCTGCATGATAGCATCACCTCCCTCCTCCCAGATTCTATACCTCTAGTGATACGGTCTGAGAGTAGGGTTTACAGATATGGGTTACCCAAGGCAATGGACTGAGGTCCCACTGGGATCACTTACGCTTCCTTATCCAAACTGCCACCCCATTCATCACATCCCAGGACTCACAGCTGAATACATAACCATGTTGAGGGGTAGGCCCAGGCACTAGGCCCGAGAGAAGTTGGCAAGGGTGGCATCTAGGAGGATGGCTGAGGGGGGGGGAACAGAGGGCCGAAAACCCGGGAGGAAGGCACCGAGAGCTCCCAGCCACCCAGCCGCCTAGGCCCACGCCTCGCCCCGTCCGCTGGGCCTTCTCTGCTGCCCGCGGTGGGCCCACGTGGGCACCGATAGTCAAAGCCGAGAGCTGAGTAAGAGTTCACGGGACATCCAGGGAGGCCCAGGATGGGAGGGCTTGCTGGGGAGATACAGAGAGAGGACAAAGGGACCACGACATCTCGGAAGCCCTGGAATGAGAGCCGCAGGATTGATAAGGGGCCCGTTCAGGAGGCCGATCGATGCGGGAGATTGGTTTATTGCCGGAACCGCAGGGAGTGTCACGCATTTGAAATGACGCGTTGGCCGCCATCTTTGAGTAGGGCACCAGTTTCCCACTCACTTCAAATGACGCGTTGGCCGCCATCTTTGAGTGGGGCACCGATTTCCCACTCTGCTCCACATCCGGGGTTTTGAGACTTGGTTGCTATGCAACGCGGAACTGCCCTTTTTTTCTAAGCGGGAGGTTCAGTTGCTAGCGGGACTTGACAAGTAGTTTTTCCTTCTGGTTGTTGTTGCATTTCATTCAAGTTTAAAAATTCGGGTCCGTTCCGGTTTCACTGCCTCGGCCTGTCAAAGCCCCCGACAAGCTTCAGGTTTCAGTTTTTGGGGTGGGGTAAAGGTCATAAAGAGGGTTTGAAGGTCAGGCATTGGGAGTCAAAAGTCAGGGCAGGTTCTGAACTTAAATGTGTGAAGTTGGAGTCAAGGTCAGAGGTCAATGTCAGGAGTAGCCGGATTGGCGGTCAGAAGTTGGGTGGCCATGTTGGAAAAAGGTGTCAGAGGTCTTGAGGCTCCTTGATTTAATAAGTGTCAAATGAAGGTCAGACTTGGTGGAGGCTGGAGGTTAGAGGTCAAGATGAGGAGGGCGAGTTGGAGGACATGGGGTCGAGTTTAGTGTTTGTCCATCAGAGGTCGAAGGTTGAGAGAACTGATCCTAATGGAGAGGTCAGAACTGATAAAGGATAGAGGTCAAGGGCCGGGGTGTCCAGAGGGCAAGTTGAATTGATGAAGATCACAAGACAAGTTTGGGGTCAGACATCAGTGGATCTAGTTGGTGGGAGAAGGGAGAGGTGGAGTCCAGGAGATAAAGTTAGATTTGAAGGTTAGAGGTCAGAGTTCAAGGTGAAGAGGGAAGGTTGTTAGAGGTCCAGGCATCGTGGGAGATTGGGAGGTAGTGTAGATTCAGTCAGCGAGAGTCAAAACACAGGAGAAGTTGAGGTGGGTCAGAGTTGGGCAAGGTTGGAGGTCAGAGGTGGAAGGAAAGGGAACCAGAGTCAGTGTAGGTCATTGGTGTTTTGAGGTCAAGGTCAGGTCAGGTTGGTGGAAGGGGCCTGGACTGGAGGCCCAGGAGGTGTGCCAGAGCCCGTGAAGGTCGGAGGTGGGAGGTCAGGAGGCCAGTGGAGGTCCCTTCCCGCCGCTACTCAGGGCTCCTCGGGAAATGGCCACGCTCGAGCTGTTGGTGGACCCCCCTCCTGGGGACAGAGAGGCAGAGCCCTCCCTCACCCCAGGCCCACTGCTCACACCCACCCTCCGGCAGCTCACCTGTTCAGCTGGCCCAGACCACGCGGCCACAGGGTGGGAGCCGCCTCCTTGTGCGGGTCCATGGGGTAGGAGGCCAGTGGGGCCCGGTCACCATGAGAGAACACCTGGGGGCTGGACTGGATCAGGGCTGGACTCGGGGGAGTCAGGGGTCAGCTTGGGACAGGGACGCCTTACCAGAGCCAAGAACACCAGGGGTCCTTCTGCCAGGGCCTGGTCAGCAGCAACAGCAGTAGGAGAGGTCCAGCAGGGTGGCCCCGAAACCGTCCCCCAGCCATTTGCACACAGGTGCTGAGCCCAGCCCCGCTGGCTGTACAGAGACCTCACCTGCTCATAGCTTCTGCCTCTCAGGCCCCCGTAAGAGCACGTCCCAGCATGCCTCGCCCAGCTTTGTGAGTGTGGGGAGGCACAGAAACAGATGCAGGGAGAGAGAGAAACACCCCGACACACACGGCCTGCACCTCACATTCCAGACTCACAGTCTGTCCTCCCCCCACTTCCTTCACTCTACTCTTCTTTTTCTTTCCACTTACACATTGGGGCTCTTTGAGGCTTTCGTGTGTCATGGGCTCCTTGGAGATGTCACCTTCTTCGAGTACCTCCCACAGAGTGGCCTACGGTGAACCCCCAGACCTTGGAGTTAGACAGGCTGGGTTCAAATCCCGGCTTTACCATTTACCAGCTGTGTGACCTTGGGCAAGTTACTGCACCTCTCTGTGCCTTGCTTTCTTCATTTCACAAAATGAGAACCGACACAATCTGCCCCTCAGAGGTTGCTTTGAGGATTTCTGATGTCGTTGAGGGCCTCTGAGTCGGCGTAGCGACCCTGGGTGACAGAGCAAAACCATCCCATAGGGTTTTCTTGGGTATAATCTTTATAAAAGCAGATTGTGGGTGGATCTGAACCACCAAACTTTTGGTTAGCAGCCAAATGCTTAACCATTGCACCACCAGGACTGCTTTGAGGATTAAATGAATTCATCACTTAAAACAGGATCTCACAAAGATTGAGTATGTTAGTTATTTATTGGTGTGTAACAAATTACCCCAACACTTAGTGGCTTGAAACGGTAAATGTTTATTCTCTCCCATAATTTCTGTGGGTCTGGTTTGGGAGTGGTTTCGGTG